TGCAAACGAGTTGGTCTACCCCATTTAATGTTTGCTGATGATTTGCTTCTTTTTTCTGATGGGACAAATTATGAGATTCAATGTATTTAGAGTGTTCTCGCTCAATTTAGAACCCTGTCTGGTCTCATTTCCAACCTTGTAAAATGTGAGCTTTACTGTTGTGGTCTTCCTCAAGAGTAGTAGGAAAGTATGGAAGCTAGGGCTAGTTATCAGCTTGGTAAACTTCCAATCAGATACTTAGGTATTCCTCTAATTCTTGGAAAGTTGTCCATTAAAGCTTGTCGACCTCTCATTAAAGCTTGACAAAATAGCCAAAAGAATTCATATTGGGGGGGGGGGGGGCTAAATCTTTGACTTATGATGGGATGCTCCAACTGGTAACTGGTTCATGACTTTGGCAGAAAGTGCTCAAAACAAGAAGTCTGGTTCAACATAAAGTGGCAATTCAGGATGGTCAGGGAAGCTGGAATGGTAAGATTCTAAAAAACAATTCTACCAAATTGGTGTGGGTGGAACTAAGGCCACAAGCAGCTGCAGTTCCCTGGTTCAAACTGATATAGAAATCCCCCAAACTTCCAAGGAATCAGTTTCTTAGTTGGCTGATCATTAAAGAGTATACATCTACTTGTGACAAAATGATTGTCTGGGGATTTCAAGGGCTTACAGCTTGTGTTTAGTGTCACTGCAGAATTGAAAGTCATAACCATTTGTTTGCAGAATGTGATAGCTACAAATCACTTTTCATTGCTCTATTCTTTAAGTCTAGTAGGAGGTATCCTTCGGACTTATGGTCTGAAGAACTCAAATGGGCTACAAACTCTTTTTCGACTGCTGCCTCTCATTCTAGAGTTGGGAGAGTACTCTGGCAATCCATGATCAGTAATATTTGGAGATCTATATGCTCTGCAAGGTATAGCAAAACTAGACCTGGAATCGGGTCAGGTTGGGTAATTTTGGGTTGGGGATTTCGGTTACGGGTCGGGTCATGTTTGGTTGGCTGATTTCGGGTCAAATATTGGCCCAACCCATTTGGTTTCGGGTCGGGTTATTGTCATTTCGGGTTATGCGTTCTCAGAAACAATATCAAACATACTTCATATTTTCTTACAGGACACAAATTTTCACATATGGATGACAATAGTTTACCTAACACATGTCAATTAACATATACTCAAATCCTCCCACGCTAGTGAAATGAAATACAAATTACGTAAATCGTCAAAAAACAATCACAAGAGTAATACTACTACAAGAAACACATGATATTTGATTATCCTTAAACTCCAAAACATGTCATTCAAATCCTTGTGATTTTTTTAAACATCTCACCAATTTATGAGTGATTTTATCATTTTGAGAGTGATATATAAAATGGAACGGGTCTAACGGGTCGACCCGCTAACCCACCCAACCCGACCCAAAAAATCATGGGTTATTGGGTTCGGGTCATTCGGATTTCGGGTTACAAAAATATCTAATTTTCGAGCGGTTTCGGGTCGGATCAAGGAATCGGGTTGCAATTTGCCAGGTCTACTGTGGTGAGTTTGGATGTTTCTCTTAAACAGATTAATGATGAAGTGGTAATTCTTTATGATGATGCAATAGTTGTTGTGTTTATATGAGTTTGGTTAGTCTCTATTGCTCCTCTTCTTGGCAGATTACACATAGCATTAGTAGTATGTAGAGAATAGATCATCTTTTGCTCTCTTTCCTTATTGGCAAGGGGTGTTACCACAAAGTACTTTGGTTTTTGATGATAATAGAATACTATCCTTTCATAAAAAAAGAATATCATCTTGTAGAGGATAAAAATCTGATTTTCTAAGCATTAATTTTTAAACATGATGTAAAACGAATGATATATGATCCATTGAAATTTCATATACGATTTGAAAAAAACTTTAACAACACGCCTGAAAATCTGTGCAAGTCCCAAAATATCCGCTAACTATCTTCAAATTAAGATCCGTTATTTTCTCGTTACTTTTATAATGAACTTAAACCATTAGATCTCTTCTTTCCCCCATTACAAGATCCAATTTTGTAGATCAACATATAGAATGGGTTCCCCTAAGCTTTTTTTAGAGAATTATAATTACTGTTATATGACCTAAACACAATTAATGGATCCGCATATAGGCTATATATCGACCTACATAAATCCAATCTATTACACATCATTACATCTAACATATAAAACAAAATTTTCAAATACATGATGATTCAAATTCATCACCACATTTTCATTTCTAAAAAAAAAATCGTTAATAATTTCAAATCCAATTAACATTGGCAGAAACATTATTTTATAAAAAGCCCAAGGATATTACAAGTAGCTCTTTGGATTTGCATGCTTTCTCGTTTTTTCCTGTATATTTTAGAGTAGTAATCATCGCGAGTTATGAGCGACAAATAGCAAGGTTGGAAAGAACAAGTGACAAGATCCAGAAATAGGGCTACCTACAAACAAAGTAGAAGAAAGGAGGCATATAGAGGGGTGGCAATATATATATATATAAATCAAAGTCATTGGGCTGAAACCCTGCTCTAGGATCTATAGAACACCAAATCATTAACCTTTTCGGGACGCAGACAGAAACAACTTGGCCCCATGCATATCCGCACATGAACCGAAAAACGACAATTGGGAACTCGGCCATTTTTTATCCCATTCTCGATGCTTCAGTTGCTATAGACTCTAGTCTCCCCTTCTCCAATTTTTGTTCATAATGGAAGCAAGTCGAGCAACTGGTTACAAATATCAAATATTAAGCGAAGAGAAATAGTTAGCTTTTAATCGGTGTTTGCTAAATAGTAAATACTACTGGATCAACGGTTTAATCGGAAACCTTGTCTATTGAAAGTCTAGCCGGTACGATATTTTACCGGTGGTTGAACCATATGGTATCAAACCGCTCACTTATCCTATTAAGTTTTCAGTACAATTCTTAATTTTTATAATTTGTGAATATATATATGCGAATGGGAAAATGGAACAATTAATTGATTTGCAGTTTTAGATTTTCTTCTCGAACAACTTGTCCTGGAATGGATGTATGTACACAAATTGAAAATTTGGGGCTTTATTATATGCTACTGTGTCTTGTTTTTATTACCAGAATTAATAAAACAATGGCATAAGTTGTTTCATTTTTATGATCGTGGAGCACAATAATTTATATTCCGAAAGTATGTCAGAGAAATCTGAAATCTGAAATCCTGTGAAATATGAAATCCACTTCTAAGTATCTTACTGGTAATTCTCCTAAAGGGAATCCTGTGAAATCTGAAATCCACTTATGCTCTTCCTTTGAAATTCCCGCACAGAACAATTGGCACTTGGCCAGATTGCATTTCAGCCGAGAAACATGATAAAACTTGTCAAACAACCTCTTAATCCCAGCAACTGCCCTGATTGAACCATTTGAAAACACCAGGAGATCATCCGCAAAACAGAGATGAGTGATTTCAAGACCTTTACATCGTGGATGATAAGGAATGAAATCTTGAGACACATCCCTAGCTAACACACAAGAAAAGACCTCCATGGCAATAGTAAACAGGTAGGGGGAAAGAGGATGCCCTTGCCTTAACCCTTTGCTTGCTGGGAAATAACTGCAAAGTCCACCATTAAAATGTATAAAATTAATTATTTAAAAAATAAATAAATATAGAACTCCCCATAAAATAATAGTAAAGTTAACATTTTAATTCATTGAATACTTATATTAAACGTGTCATACGAGTTTTATACGTGTTTAGTATGGGAGTCATTAAATGAACGGAAATCATTGAAACTGCTTGACAATAATACGGATACGGAAGTTTTAAACGGATAAAATACGTACGGGTACATATACGTATATTAAACGGAGTATTTACTAACCATGATAAACACTAATATCAAACCGCTCACTTATCCTATTCCGTTTTCAGTACAATTCTTAATTTTTATAATTTGTGAATATATATATGCAAATGGGAAAATGGAACAATTAATTGATTTGCAGTTTTAGATTTTCTTCTCGAACAACTCGTCCTGGATTGGATGTACACAAATTGAAAATTTGGGGCTTTATTATATGCTATTGTGTCTTGTTTTTATTACCAGAATTAATAAAACAATTGGCATAAGTTGTTTCATTTTTATGATCGTGGAGCACAATTATTCATATTCCGAAAGTATGTCAGAGATTGGATTCATGTTGATGGTAGCGGTTTCAAATCAAATGGAGGCGAGCAGCGACGGTGGAGAGTATATACTAATTGATTTATCTCTTGATGACGATATAATTAACTGCGCTTAAATGAGTGGGAGTGGCGTTATTGATCGATCGGTTGCACAAACCGGCCGGCGAATGATTTGCAGAGAGAGAGAGAATGAGATTAATAGAGATTGGTGATGTAATTAAGTGGAGGGAGTCGAGAATTAAGATGAGTGATTATTGGGATGTATTAATGCATGCATGGGGGCAGTTACAGTTGCATTGCACTAGTCATTAAGTAATTCATTCAATATTTGGTATAAATAGATATAATTAAGCCCAGAAAGCCATTATTTAGGGGATAAATATTAGTTTCTCGATATAATACATTTATTTAGATTAGATAATGGGGGCGGGTGCCGGCGCACAATCTCCAATCCAGAACCCCATTTTTATCCGTGTGATAATTAAGCAAATCCTTTAATTAGCTTTTCAATGCATAGCGCCACACAGTAATAATTAGATTCAGTAAGTATGGGCTACGAGGAGGAGCCTGATGATCCCTATCTATTCATCACTCTCCATCCTAATGGAATGTGAAAGTGTAGCTAGCCCAACCTTTGCATAACTCCACTCTCTCTCTCAACCATTAATGAAGGAGAAAGGAAACTCATCACGCATATGATTTCCTTCCTTCCTTCCTCCCGTCATCTCGATCGTCTCTATATATGCAAATGCAATACAACAAGTAACCCAAAGAAACCCCAAAGAAACACCACAGTACGTACCAGATCTATGTTAATGAACCAATCATCATCTCCTCCTCCTCCTCCTGTCTCTCAGAGAATCATGTCCTCAACAAGGCTCGATGATCAGCAGCAGCAGCAGCAGGAACTGCTGGCCAACAAGCAAGAAGAAGTGGGACGAGGCCAAGAGTGCTACAGCCAATCTCACCCACCACCACCACCAGGAGGAGGAGGAGGATTACCCTTGGATCATCTCCACCCACCTGCTTCTTTCAAGTGAGTCGTTCACTCTTCACATCACATTGTTTTTCTTGCTTCACTCAACAGAACACGCACGTCAGTATTTATTTTGTTAAGATAATGATATAACGTACGGACGGACTGATTTAATGTATACATCCAGCAGTAGCAGTAGCAGTTGCAGTTGCAGTACTGGGGGAGATGGCGGCTACTTTGATCTGCAGTACTACTGCCTTCCAATGTTCCCGCCCGAAATCGGTTGTGTTGATGAATATAATAGTAGCTATGTCGACGATCACTACGCCTACCAATGTGATCACTATGGCCACATGAGTGACATCATTAACGTTGCATCTTCATCATCATCATCATCAGCATCCTCCTCTTCCTACCAATATTTCAGTTTCACTACTACTGCTACTGCTACAGACCATGGGTGTAACAAGGGCGATGATGATGATGAGGCCGGGTTCTGGAACGAATTGGGCCCACTCCTTCCTGAGCCTTCCATTCAGCCTCGCAGCAACAACACCTCAACCCACCACTCCCCTGCTGTACTTGTGCCTACGGGAGACAAGGCGGCGACGCCTACTAACGGAGCAAACGCGCTGACGAGGGAATCGGTGTCCAAATATTTTTACATGCCGATAACGCAGGCGGCGAGGGAGCTCAACGTGGGGCTGACGTTGCTCAAGAAGAGATGCAGGGAGCTGGGCCTCAAGCGGTGGCCCCACCGCAAGCTCATGAGCCTCCAGACCCTAATCTCCAATGTTCGCCACCTACAAGGCGATGACCACGACAGCAGCAGATCGGCGAGATTGAAGGAAGCCATAAGGGTGCTGGAGAATGAGCAGAAGCTGCTCCAAGAGTGTCCCGACCTGCAGCTCCAGAGGAAAACCAAGAGGCTCAGGCAAGCTTGCTTCAAGGCCAATTACAAGAACAAGAAGAAGCGGACCCAACACTACTTTGATGCCACTAGTACTACTGCTTCTCCTCCGGCTAACAGCTCCACTCGGCATCATACTGCTCCTCCTGCAACTGCAACTACTACTACCACCACATTCGCTGCTCAAGCTCAAGAAGGTGACGATGAACAAGGGGATGAGGAAATCAAATCGCTGTTGCTCCCTGTGCTTCATCACGATCATCATTACCATGCTCCTAACTTTGGCTTCTGAATATTTATTAATGCCCGCGGGCGTAACCCTGTGATCCTTTTGGATTTCTTTTTTTGTTTTGCTTTTGCTATGTAATTCAGTCCCATTGATAATACAAGTTGGTTTATCGTTTGGGGCCCTGTAGAATTCGGGTAACGCGGAAAGAAAGAATCCGCTGAGACAAGATTTGCGTGGTATCCCTATTCGATGTGAACAAGACTAATCCACAGTGAGCTCGAAACGTGCTCACGGACTAAGATGTTATTGATGAGTACTGCGTGACCTAGCTTTCTTCGACTGGAGACCCGAACCTAAACTTATATATTGACTGGGGAAAAACTAATCCCTACCATAATGACTCGGTTTCCCTTTACAACGTCAACTAGGAAACTTACACACACTAGGACTCGGTTACTTGGGACACAAGACAAAGTAATCGCAACAATCCCCCTCAATCGAAGGCATGAATATCTAACATGCCGAGCTTGGAAAGAAGATAGATGACCGAACTGATCCACGCTTAAGCCCTTAGTGAACAAGTCTACAGGTTGTTCATGAGTGGCGATCTTGCAAGGAGCAATATCAGCAGAGAGAACATGTTCGCGAATAAAATAGCAATCCATCTCGACATGTTTAGTACACCCATGAAACACAGGGTTAACAGAGATATGCAGGGCGACTTGATTGCCACAATGAAGTGGAGTGGCAGGCGTGGAAGGATGGCCAAGCTCGGAGAGTAACCAACAGAGCCAAATCACCTCAGACAGTGGTAGCCATGGCTCGATACTCGGCCTCAACAGATGACTGTGCAACGACAGACTATTTCTTGGTGCGCCAAGAGACGGGGCACCGCCAAGACTAATGAAATATCCGTTAGTAGAGCGACAAGTGGTAGGACAACCACCCCAATCAGCATCACAATAACCCTCGAGATGGAGATTATTCTGAGCTAGGAAGAAAAGACAACGGCCAGGAGATTGCTTCAAGTAACGCAACACGCGTACGGAAGCATCCACGTGATCCTGAGTGGGCATGAACTGCCCGACTTAGAATATTGACCGCGCACTGGATATCAGTACGGTGAAAGTAAGATAAAGTAACCGCCCCACAAGACGCCGAAAGCTCGAGGGATCAGGCATTGGTGGAGAAGGATGGCGACCAAGTTGATGGTTCTACTAGATAGGAGTGTCACATGGACGAATTCCTTCGAGCCCACAGTCAGCGAGTATATCCATGACATACTTGCGTTGGTTTAGCACAACACTTGACGAGAACAGACAACTTTGATACCCAAAAAATACTTCAAGTTGCCCAGATTCTTGATGGTGAAATCAGCATGAAGAAAATCCTTAACCTGCTGCATAAACTGCTCATCATTGCCGGCGAGAATGACATCGTCGACATATATATGCGCAACCACGAAAATAGAACCAGACCGATAGGTGAACAACGAGTGATCAGCCCGACTCTAGATAAACCATAACCCAAGGAGCGCACGAGAAAATCTTTGGTACCAATTTCTTGACGCCTGACGAAGACCACAGAGAGACTTCTGCAACCGACAAACACGAGAATCACCGGGTTGAGAAAAACCTTGAGGGACTCTCATGTAGAATTCCTCCTAAAGATCGCCATGCAAGAACGCATTGTTGACGTCGAGCTGATAGAGAAACCAGTTCTGACTGACGGCAACGACAATCAAGCAACGAACAGTGACAAGCTTGACAACGGGAGCGAAAGTATCATGATAATCGATGCCTCCGATTTGGGTGAAGCCTTTAGCCTCTTAACGAGCTTTATACCGGTCGACGGAGCCATCAGACTTGAACTTGACCTTGTAGAACCACTTGCAGTCGACAATGCGTTTGCCGGGCAGTGGATGTGCCAACACCCATGTTCCATTGGCCTGGAGAGCATTGATTTCTTCTTGCATAGCTTTCCTCCAATGCTCATAACGGACGACCTACAAGAAGTACTTGGGTCCGAATGTAGCAGAAACTTGAGCTACGAAAGCACGGTGATTAGGGGAGAGCCTCTCGTACGTGACATGGTTGCTGAGAGGGTAAAGGGATGCATGCTGCGCATGCGGATGTGAGTAAGGCAAGACTGCATCATAGTCTTGAAAATGAACCGAAGGGTGGGTGACTTGCTTACTATAACGTGAAACTAGCTCGGCAGAGGACACGAGTGAGGACCCGGGATTGACAGCATCATTCGTTGACCCCGAAGTGGTACTGGGACTGAGAGAGCTAGCGGGAGACGACAAGGAAGGAGGAGGCGAGATGGTCGGAGTAGGGGAGCCAGGCTCGTGAGGACTGGAGGATGGACCGGGGAGCGGACCTGGAGTTTGGGGTGACACGATGGGCTGCTGGAACCTCCTTAGACCTTTTCAGAAGCACTGTAAGTTGGTGGAAGATTATGTGGAAAGGCAGGGGTATACCAAGAAATCGGATTCTAACATGGTTGGTAATGAGAGATAGCGTAAACACTAAGGTGAAAATGCAAAAATAGGGTCTAGAACCTCCTTAGACCTTTCAGAAGCACTGTAAGTTGGTGGAAGATTTTGTGGAAAGGCAGGGGTATACCAAGAAATCGGATTCTAACATGGTTGGTAATGAGAGATAGTGTAAACACTAAGGTGAAAATGCAAAAATAGGGTGTCACAGGAGACTTGAAGTGTGTTTTGTGTGAGGATGGAGTTGAAGATAGGGACCATCTCTTTGTGCATTGTCCTGTCTCTCGACAGATCCATATCTTACTGTTTGGCAGGACTATGCAGAACTGGGAAGATGAGGTAGGATGGGTTGTTTTGAAGCTTAGTGTTGTATCAGAAGAAGTATAAGCGGGAAGGATCATATGGCAGAGCTGGGTGAGTAATGTCTGGCGGGAAAGATGTAGAAGAATGTATGCTGGGCAGGTGACCTCCTCAACTGTGTTACTGAGGATGATTAAGTCTGAAGTGGAGTGTTTCTTGGGTAGACAGAGAGTTACTCAATTTTGTGAGTGATTTTGATTGTTTATTTGTCTTAGAAGTATAAAAATTTTGTTTGTAGTATTCTTTTCTTTGGTTATTACATCACCAAGCTAACAGGGTAGTTGTTAGCAACTTTCTTTTTGATGAAATGAAACCCATCGATTCATAAAAAAAAATTCTTTGTATCTAAATAATTTGTGCCTTTTTATATTTTTAATATCTAAATTGTTTAAATTTCACAAATAAGTTTAATTTGTTTGTTTGTATATGTAAATTCATACATAAACAATGTCCATTTAATTTAAATAACTAATACTACTAAAAATATCAACCTTTAACAAAAGTTTCATTTATACTATGAAACTTTTGATATGTCATTTGTATACCAACCATTAAATTTTTTATTAGAAGTTAACAGAAAATACAATCGAGTCCGATTGTTGACATGAAATATTATAATAAAAAATACAAAAATGTATCATTTTAATTAATAAATGAAATGTGATATTATAATAACTCACATCATCAAAATTAGGGGTGTTCAAATGGTTACCATGGTTATAACCAAACCAAATAAGGCTAAATTCCATTAAACATGGAATACAATATCATAACCAAACCGTCCAAACTAATACAACAACCAAATTAACCAAACTAAAGTTTAATCGGTTTGGTTAATTGGTTAACCAGATTAACCAATATAAAATCACATTATCATTGACGATGAAAATTTTCCGGTTGATGCAACAATTCGCAATTTATATAATGAATAAAACATAACAACCAACACGTAGTTATAGTTGACCCTTAACAAAATACATGCAACTAAGACAATTATCTTACGATTGGTATAGAAGTATTCACCTAACAAAAATTTATGATAATGGTATGGGTTAATGAATTGTTGTGTTTGTGTAAATTGACTTAGTCTATTAGCAATTATCATAGGCTGGAAATGACCTTCCTTTCAAGTTTTCATCCATCATAATGTATGAAATTCATCTAAATTAGGCGTCCATATGTTGTGGTCTACATTTTACATATACAAATATACACTATATGAGCAATATTGAGCTTTATATTTTATGAGTCTAAAAGGGATGAACGTTAACTCTTGAGTGGTTATGCAAAGTATTAAGTATGTGTATATAATATATGTTAGATATATGACTAATTACTTAACTGGTTAATTTGGTTTGATTGGTTAGAAGTGTCTGAAATCAAACCAAACCACCTAAACCAAACAAGCTAAAAACTTTAACCAAACCAAACCAATTATTCAAATTAACCAAACCATATTATCCAAAAAGTACCGATTAAAACGGTTACCATGCTAACCAAACCGTTTGAACACCCCTAATCAAAATAAATTCCCCATTCCCTCATCATCGGCCCTCCTTCTCTCACCCGCTCTCTTTCTCGTTTTTTCCCCCCCGTCGGCCCTCCAAACTCCTCCATCCTCAGGCGAGTGGCGAGCAACCTGACTTTCCCCCTACTCCCGTCCAGCGCTGCCGGCAGATGCCTTGTCCAATCTTCCGTCGCCGAACTCATCGTCCCCTATCTATTCGTCAGTACTAGCTCTGGTGTTTAGCGTTCACATGCAAGTGTTCAATTTGGGTGAAGTAAATTGACCAAATCCAAACCCCAACCCTTCGATATATTCTAGCATTTGAATTTTGATTTGGGGATCTTGATTTGGATTTGGCTATCAAGAGAGATCGAGAGAGTAATTGGTCGACAAGGAATTGGGAAGAGGAGGGGATTCAAGATTGGGGTTGTTGATTTGTTTCGGTATATTTCACAGAAAAGGGTTATGGGTTTTGTAATTGAAGGGATGATGATGATAAGTTTGAGATAGATGAATCTTTGCGGGAATAAGCAGTGTCGATTAACAGTTTCCATCTGTTTAGCGTCTGCAGATTTCTTCATTAAGCATAATGTTTGGCGTCAGGAGAACATTGGCCTCCTGTGAAAGGGGGCTTCACATGTTGTCCCGTGGCGATGGTCCTTCGGAGACATTGAGAAGAAGGGTATCAGAGTTGGAGAAGTTGAGGAAACGGAAGAACCCCAGAAAGCATGAACTTTTTGTGCAAGTTCCTGAATCGTTGAAGTTCCTCGACACTGCTACAATGCCGATGATTCTCACTGTTGTGGGTACTGCACTCGTCGCAAAGCTCCTAATGATGGTATATTTCAACTTCCTACTGTCTTACCCTGGTTTAAGGTTATCCTTCTTGACTTAGAATATTACAATTGATGATGAACATGATTGTTATCAGGAACACGAACGAGTCCCTGGAGCTTGGTTTTGGGTTGCTACTTTAGCTGATTTTAGAATTATGCTTTAATATGTAATTTCCACTGAATCAAAAGCATAACAAGGACCCATTTTGCTGATAAGTTTAGTGCGCACTTGCACTTAGACTGGTATTTCTTCATTTCATTATTAGGACTTTGTTTGGTCTCTCTTTTAAGTAAACCTATTAGTAACTAACCATGGATCAAGTTTAATGGATTGTACTCTTTTTCACACCTTAGGCATAGTTAGAATTGTTTCATATGTCTTTTATTGCTTTTTCTGTGCTCATCGGTCTGTTTTTCTTGTAACTGATCAGTGGCTTTTCTCATTTTAATCTATCAATAGTGTACCTAATGATGTGATCATTGATTATCACAGTATGATCAATCGAAATCAGAAGAAATGATTGAGCGCAAAATTGAGCATGCTCCTTCAGGTCAAGGTACCGTGAGGATGCTTAGTCGTGAGGAATGGGAAGAAATTCGAGAAGTGAGGCCTAGAACTCCTTTTGAATCTAAGCTTGCTCGACCAAGAGCCCGAATAAGAACTGATGATGCCATCAGCGTGGTAAGTGAGCCTCTTTTTCTGCACTTTGTCATCTAATTTCTGTTCATCGAAATTTGTGTAAAAAATTAGTATGAGTTGGGACTATTGCATCGTACAATTGTTCTGTTCAATTCAGTTTCCCTTTCAGTTATCAATAAGCTATTTAAAATTATATCGCTATTGTGATGAGTTCACTCATAAAGTGCTACATGCATTACTCACGAAGTATTTGCATCATCCTAATGCAACCGACAACTATATTGACTCGTCTGTCTAGCAAAGATGTTTGCCAACCTTTTTGACCATATATGTATTTCCGATGCTCACTGTTTTTAGTGTTTATGTTCATGCATTCCCAGGTTATCTCCATTCATTCACTCATATTCCAAATATTTCCATTCTTGACGCCATGTCTTAATTCTATGTTGTATGATATTCGTTACTTGTAGACGATTCCTTGGATCAAAACCTTTTCATGTTGGCCTCGCCTAAATAACTCTTCATGAATTATTTTTTAGGGTTGTCTTGAGGTGTAGAAATTGTTTTTATGCATCCACGCATCCCGCTGCAGTTTTCTTCTTACCACTTATCATAAGTTGTTGCAACGCGCTGTGGTATTTTGTGGATGCTATTGATGAGACTTGGTCGTACTTGTTGTGTGCAGAGAGATCTGAAGGATTGGACCATAGATGTCCTGACAGATGGTTTCACTCGCATTGAAGAAGCCACCAAACGCCATTAGCTGTATGTGAAAATGCTGATGAATTTGATCCTTGCATACTCAAACTAACACTATGAATTTGATCACTCCCGTTGAGAAGGAGAGAGGAAGTGTTTGTGGGAAGAAGAAGAAGAAGGGTGACGAAAGGTTTGGTCGACTCATTTTACTTGGTCAAATAGTTAAAACCGAAAGGTTTGAAAGTGTTTGACTGAGTTTGACCAAATGCAGTGAAAATGAAAGTGAACACGAGGATCTTATAGGATGATCAGTTATGGTAAAAATTTATATGATATGTTGGGTTCACCTTGCTTTAATCATTTTGATGACAAATCAATATTCGAGTCTGTGACATGAGCTAGCTATCTATATTGGTCAAAGGTTGTGCTTCGAGCTTGCTCATTATCCTCGAGGTTGCGATGAAGGTTTAACAATATTATTTATAAACTAGCTTTTATCCGATCCGTTGGTCGGGGGACCCAAATTTCGTTTTATTTTGTACTAGCTTATAACCCGGCCCATTGGCCGGAATGTTCATATTTGATTATTTATATTTTTATGTTACATTTAAGCCAATCAACCAGTTTAATTTTATTGACAAATCCTTCGATCGAGATGATACATAAAGAAAGAATATATAGGTCTAACATTCGGAGAAATACTATCATCATTTAAGAATATAAAATGTATAATTAATTCCATTTTCATAATGTTAATTAAGCCCTCGTTAAAATGTTATTGGTTAGTTGGTTTTCAAGAAAGAGAGTATAAAAGATCAGTGAAATTCCACACGACCGATAAATAGTTTGAAACTAAATCTTAAATCTCACAATCCTACATAAGGGTTTAATGCGCTCCTTTTATGAACAATATGCCACTAATAAAAAATAAATAGAGAGTTGTTGATTTAACTCAACTATATACTAACAACTAAGCTAAGAGGGGACAATCAAAACTTGAGAGCAAACGACAAAATTAGGGTTATCTCCAACACACTAATAGACTCAATCAAAGTAATAAGGCACAAAATTAGACACTCCTTGTCTATCAGTTCCAGTAGGTTGAATAAAGAATCGACCTACTTCAATAAATCAATCAATGATTCCTCGTTTTAAGATAAAAATATGTTGAGATAGATGTAAAAACCATAAACATAAGATCCAATAGCCACCACTCTTCCTTGTACAGCCAAAATTTTTTATTATCTCAAGGGACATATTTTGAACCAAAAATTCAATTTCTAATCCTCCTTCTGCAACTCCATTATTTATTAAACTCTTTTACTTTTCCAACTTAAATCCGCAACAATAAAACTGACGTGCCAAGATATATCTGATGATTGATTTTCAAAGTTGGCCTTGTATTGGGAAGTGAAAGGGACGCAAACTATTGTACGTTGGAGGGAATTTCCGAGGAAGTTGGAAAGAGATAAAGAACAAAGATAAAATCACAAATTTAAATTGAAAAATGCAAGGACGCAACACGTAGTGACAAAATTAGTTTTTTCCATGTTAGCCAATTGCCAATTTACCTTTAGCAAAAATTAAGGAGAGAGAAAGAATTTTAAAATTGAGAAAATTACATGAAACTCTACTATGAAAATTGAAGTATCAAGCACCATAAAAATACATACGGTATACTTAGCGGGCTTGCTAATCATGATGGAAAGTCCTGTGATTTTCAGAGAGTTGAACTTCGTGTATATTTTGTATTCAAAAAGACACAACAAATTTGTTCAGCATAAATGGTTGTGATTGTTGTTTTTGTTTGAAGAGACCCGGGTTCAAATCTTGATGTTGATATTTTTTATGGGAGATAAATAATTAATTGTAAAGCCAAAAATGTCCTTCCTACTTTCACTCTCGTTGCAGGAAATTTGAAATGAAAAAAGTACACAAAAGTGTACTATATATTATTGGGGGTATAGGTGTCAATCGGGCGGGTTCGGGCTGGGTTCAAACGGGTTGCGGGTTAGTCGGGTTGCGGGTTCATCGGGTTCGGGTTCAGCGGGTTGCGGGTTATTCGGGTTGCGGACAAATCGGGTTGCGGGTTCATCGGGTTTTGGGTCGGGCGGGTTGCGGGCAGATCGGGTTTCGGGTTGTTCGGGCCAGCGCATCGAGTAACTTACTCATTACTCGTTACCAACTTACACATTTTATTACACTAATTTAAAATATTTTTCTCAACATTTTAACCAATTTATTCTACGTCGTATATATATACTTAATTTTTAAAAAAAAACTAGTCAAAATGTTAAATCAATTTGTATGACTTGCAAACTTGTTATGTAATCAATCATAATTGGTAAAGTACACTAGCTAATAGTAATGGTGATATCAATATTTGAATTCAACGGAAAAAAAATTGTTTATTTGATATTTTAGTATTATTTCAGTAGTAATTGGATTAAAGTATCTTGTTTAGTATAACCATGCAAATATGGTATTTGGTTTGTGGTATTTGGCAAAAGCATAGTGATAAAAGGAGTTATTTCGAAATAACTCATTGCTCAAATAACTTCAGTAAACTATTGCCAAACGAGTTATTTGTAAAATTGTTTGAATTGTCCTAAAGATTAACTATCAAATTTAGTAAAATTATTGTGACTTCAATCATAACTTACTGAATAACATATATCCTATACAGTTAGTCTTATCCTCAATCGATAATATTAAATTAGTATATCTCACATAATTTGTAAGGAATATAACATATATGATATTAACTAACTACTTAAATATTTGCAATATACAAACCACACAATTACTATATTGAAATTGTGCATATAAAATACAAACGTGAATAACCTATATGCCGAGAGCAGAAGAAAGGAAGCAGGGATTCGACTGTCTTCAGTCCTTTCTAACCTAGAGGCGACGAAGACGGCAAGGGAGCGGAGGGGACAGAACCACTGGAGACAGTCTGGTGGCGGAGATAGGGATTTCCCTTCTCACTTGATTAAAATATTGGGGGAGGTGGGAGGGAATTTTCAATTTTGGGATGGGAGGGAATTTCAATTTTGGATCAAATATTGGGGGAGGTGGGAGGGAATTTTCAATTTTGGGATGGGAGGGAATTTCAATTTTGGATCAAATATTGGGGGAGGTGGGAAGGAATTTTCAATTTTGGATCAAATATTGGGGGAGGTGGGTTTATGGGAGGGATTTTTAAAAAAAAATGTGTTTGCAAGGGAATTTTTTAGCAAATATTTGGGGGTTTTGAATTTTGCATTCAAAAAATTTTCATAAACATCTAGTTCTTCCTTTCTTTGATATTTAGTATTATAGATGGTATATTTTATACCGATTAACTAGTTTGTTGTTCGATACGTTGGTCGGAATGTCATTTGAATATGATATATTTCAGATGTACATTCACAAGTTAAACTAATTGCTAAAATCAAATTAATTAATAAACTATAAAAATCAAAATATCCAACATAAAGCATAACCATGAATAAACCCTAAACCCTAACCCTAAACTATGACCCTATACCCTATACTATAGTTATATGTTATGAAATTGTTAGTATAAGCTATAATGTATGTTATGTGAAGAATGTAAGTTGAGTCAATTTTATATTCGGTTATTGAGAAGAACATACGTCCTATGACTCCAAACTCTAAACCACGAGTCCACTACCGTATACCCTATACACTAACCTTAAACCATGAACTATAGTTATGTGTTATGAAATTGTTGGTATAAATTTAAACTATAACGTATGATATGTGAAGAATGTTAGTTAAGTCAATTTTGTATTCAGTTATTGAGAAGAACATACGTCCTAATCCTATGCCCTCCATATAAAAATTAAAGATTCATATTTCAAAGGCTAAAATTTTGAAAAACCAAAAAGTTGAAAACACCAAATTTGTTTCATTCTTTATTTTCACAAAAAAAAAAAAACTAAAATTTCCCTCCTTCTTTCTCCTTCGATCAATTAGAAACACTCACTTTCCCTCCTCTTTCTCTTCCATAAAATTGAAAGAACCAAATTTCTCTCTTCCTTCCTTCCACAAAAAGTTGAAAACTCAAAATTTCCCTCACTTCTCTTTCATAATCAAAAGAACCAAACTTTCCCACTTCTTTCTATTCCCACAAATCAAAACCACCAAAATTTCCTTTGTTTTTTTTTTTAAAAAATTCAAAGAACCAAATTTTCCTCTTCTTTCTCTTCCCAAAAAGTTGAATACACCAAAATTTTCCTCTTCTTTTAAAAGCATCAAATTACCAAATATATTACTTTATTTTATTTATATTTAATTGATAATTTTATTGAATAGTTGAATTAACCATAATTTTAATTTATATATTATATTAATATTGTCTATGATCTTAATTATTAATTCTTCATTATTAATATTGACATTATGTTGATTTTATATTTACTTTTTTAATTTTGTTAAAGAACTTAGTGTTCAAGTGACCTTCATGTTTCAATTTTTGTAATTTTCTTAAAATACATAATATCAAGTGAGTTTCATATTTTTTAAATTCCCTATACGAAATGAAAAATAATTTTACCTAAGTTTAGAATGAAAAATTTTATTTTGAAAAACTATGTATTGTATATTATAATAATTATTTAAGTGGACTAAGTGAGGTTCAGGTTGAGTCGGTCGGGTTACGGGTTAGTCGGGTTCGGGTCAATCGGGTTCGGGTTAATCGGGTTGCGGGTCAGTTGGGTTGCAGGTCAATCGGGTTCGGGTTAATCGGATTGCGGGTCAGTCGGGTTGCGGGTTAGTCGGGTTGCGGGTTAATCGGGTTGTGGGTCGGGCGGGTTACGGGTTGTTGGCTTTTAGTCAATTCGGATTGCGGTCGGGTTGCAGGTCGGGTTGATCGGGCGGGTTAATCGGGTCGGGCTATTTTTTGACACCTATAATTGGGGTACTCGTTGTTGATTATACTATGGCTAATTAGTTCATAGGTATTTTTATTTATCAGTTGGTCCTAACTTATTGTTTTCCTTTCTATTTTCACAACCAAAATATGAATACTCAACTCTTCTTTTTCTTTTTATT